AAATAGCGGACTTAAAAGTAGCTATAGATGCACTTTACTTGTATGTTTGATATCTTAATTAGGCGCAATACATAAATGGCCCCTTTAAGTTATCCTCAAAAACCCGACATATACCTCAACCGACCTCTTTACCATTTTGATACTTTAAGTGACTATTAAGCATATCAAATAGACACCCGAGTGCAGCAGACCATATGTGTGAGTTACACTTACCAATGACGTTTCAAATAAACTAATTAAAGAATAACACTTGTAATTTATAATTAAAAAGTTTGGCGTTAGTAATTAACAAAGAAATACACTTAAGGAAAGAAAAAAAAAACCTTTTTTTAAATTTTAAGCACACCGGCGCCATGCACTTTTCCCCCAGCCTTCAAACCTATTCTTCTTCTTCCTTCCGCCCATCTACCTCTCACCTCCTACCTCTCTCTCATCCGTAATTCAACAAAGCCAATACTATCATAGGATAGAAAATATTCCAATAATTATCCCCCAAACCTATTCTTCTTCTGTTTTGCCTCACTTCTTCTCTGTTCTCCTTTATTTATAGGTATAATCAGGAACTCAAAAACCTAAAGGCTAAAAGAGTGACCCCAAATCCAGTGGTCTTGCAGGTTATCATCCATGGATGAACATTTAGAGGTTATCCATGGCAGAACTCGATGCGAGCTTCTGATTGTTTTTTATACTTTTTTTGCATCCAGGTTGAAATAGAGGTGGTGGATTTATGGTGGAAGGTGTTGGATTTATGGTGGAAGGTGGTGGTTTAAGATGGTGGAGCTAATGATGTTGGGGTGGGGACGGTTAATATGAAATTTTGGGTGAAAAGGGGTTGGTATTATCGCTCAGAGATTTTTGAAGGAGGAAAAATGATAAAGTAGTGTGGGACCCAGGTATAATATTTAATTTAATTAATAAAACAAGAGAGAACAAGTATGATAAAAGCCTCACGCACCCAAATGTAACTAAAATACACGTATTTGCCATGTCAATATGAAGTGTTTACTTGATATAGATAATAGCCACTTGAAGTGTTTAAATGGTAAATGAATTAGTCAAAGTATTTGTCTGATAATTGTCAACAACTTAAAGGAGTAATTTATGTATTTTGCCGATAGTTTAAGCAATGTTTTGACAACTTCCCTATGTAGATTGTTAATGCTGCTTCATTGCGCTATTTACCACTGACTACAGGGTTGGATTAATGCATATTCTATTTCTCGGGAAAAAGAAAAGAAGGTATTATCCTAATATCTAATACAAGACCTATTATCCTATTATCCAATACAAGACCTACAAGTTGATGTGGGAAAAAAAAAATCATTTTCAATATAACCAATTAATTCGGTAATAACTATACTGCCATAGATATGCGAGCCAGAAATTGTGATAAGATTCAAAAGAAACAAAATATAAAAATGCTACGTTTAGGATCTGTTTTTGGAAAAGAAAATATTACATAAGTGATTGGATTCAGAGTGTTCGCGGTTCGATTTAGGTTGGTTTTTCTTTAGAAAAATCAAACCAAATATGTTGATTTTTCAAATACTGGAACCAAACCAAACCAATTAAGTCAACTTTTATCGATTTAGTTAATATCAGTTTTTGTCCATTTTTCAGTTTTCTCAGTTATTTGTCGGTTTTTTTCTTAAAAAAATATGAGACATAAACTACCAAACACATATTTCGGAGACTATATTTTTTGTAACACTATTAAACAATTGCTCTTTGAGAAATCTATCATTTACTAGGATATATTGGTGAATTGAATTAACTAGTGATGAATAATTTAAGGACTCGTGATTCAAATGAGTTTCTCTCTTCTCTCTCTCTCTCTCTCTCTCTCTCTCTCTCTCTCTCTCTCTCTCTCTGCGCACGTTAGGTGAATAGCTAACCTGCGCCGCCGGAAATGGGAGGAAGAGGAAGAGCGAAGAACACCAGCAAATGCCAGACGCAGAAAGGAAATTAACGGACATCATCACACGCGAGCAAGGGAAACAAACTACTAAAGCAAAAGAGAAATGCAGGAGGAAGATCTGGAAAGGCAGTGATAGCGACCCAAATTGGCCAGATCGAGGCAATAATCGAGTCAAAATGGTAACGCTGGTGAGTTCTAGCAATCAATTGACACCTATGGTGAACTCTGGCAAAGGAATTGCTAAAGCATTTATTGCAAGTGAGCAGCCAAGCTCGAGCAAAGTGCAAACCAATGAAACAGTACGTGCAAGCCCACCTAATAAACCGAGAAATGCAGAGCTTGATAACCAGCAGAAAATTCAGTAGAAAAAATAGAACCATCAGTGGAGACGGGAAGATCATAGGCAGGGCTATTCTAGGAGAACAAATTGGCAGCAAAAGGTATGAATCTAACCTACATACCCCCAGTGATGAAGGATGGTGAAGTAGTGATACAATTGATGGAAGAGGACATCGAAGAAGAGAACCAAAAGTGGAATCGAGCAGTTCTACTCTATGTGGTGGGGAATACTCGATCAATTGGGGCTATTGAGAGATTCATAGCTAATCAATGGGTTAATATTCATAAACCTAAGGTGCTCTTCCATAATGATGGGTATTTCATAGTACTGCTAAATAGCAGTGAAGAGAGGTGGGATATGATGCTGAATGGGCCTTATACAATTAATAGCAGGCCAAATATAATTAGAGCATGGTTGGAAAACTTTGATTTCAATGAAGAAGTGTTGAAAACCATTCCCCTATGGGTCAAGCTCCCAAAACTGCCACTCAACTACTGGAGTGAACAGGCCCTAAGTAAAAATGGAAGTGGTTTGGGAAAGCCATTATATGTTGATGCTTGCACCACAATGGCTGAAAGAGTCTCATATGCTAGGGTCCTGATTGAAATGGATGTCACAAAACCACTGCTAGAGAAGATTAAACTATATGATCCTAAAGGCAAGGTGATTGAACAGATGGTTCAATTTGATTGGAAACCACAGTACTGCCAAACATGCTGCCAATTAGGTCATTCATGTAGGGATCAAAAGAATCAGAAACAGGAAGGAATGATACAGGAAAGTATGGAAATGAAGCAGAAGCAGGAATGGAAAAAAGTCAGAACTCTTGAGCCTGTTGTAGATAAAATTGATGCTCAAGGAAGATTGCTTGATCAGCCGGAGGCAGCAGAAAATGTACACCTAAGTCAGTAGGAAGTTGAACCACAGTGGCAAATTGCTCGAGGAAAATCCGCTACAAAGGAGAATGCAGAAGTTACAAAGGAGAATGAAGTAGACATTGGCAATACTTTCAAAGCACTAGTTGATACAGCTAGAAGATAGTTCAACTATCTGAAGCCCAAGGTGTGAGGGAGAAAAAGAATAAGAAGGATAGAGAAGGAGTTCCACAACAAATATCCATATCATGATGAACATTATAGCATGGAATGTTAGGGGTTTGAATAAAGTATATAAGTAAAAAGAACTAAAAAAAATTTGCAGAACAAATAAAGTGGGGCTTGTGGCCATTATAGAACATAGAGTGAAAAGAAGCAATGCAGATTCAAAAATAAAGAAGACTTTTAACAACTAGAATGGGTTGACAACTACAATGAAGCTCCATGTGGTAGAATATGGGTAGCATGGGATCCAACTCAGGTGGATTATTTGATGACCAAAACTCATGAGCAATTCATAATGGGGAAGGTAATTATGATTCAGCATAGATCCAGTTCTAATTACTGTGCAGTCTACGGTAAACACATAATTCAAGATAGGAAAAGTTTATGGGAGGAATTAAAGGTGTCAGTGCAGGGTATAAACAGTCCTTGCCTCATAATGGGTGACGCCAATACTATCCTGACTAGTGAGGATAGGATCAACACAACCCTGTGCAAGAGATTGAGATAAGGGATTTCAAGAATTTTCTAATGGATGCAGGATTAGATGAGCTGAAAACTGTGGGGGGACAATACACATGGACTAACAACCATGTCTATAGTAGGATTGATAGAATCCTGGCAAATGCAGAATGGATACAACAATGGCCTTACATGGAGGGAATCATTATATATCCAAGTTTTTTTTATTCATTGTCCTCTAAGTGTAGGATTTGACATCAATAACCAAGCAGGCATGAGACCTTTTAAATTTCTCAACTGCTTGGCAAGCCTAAGTGAGTTTGATGCAACTGTAAAGCAATTCTGGCGGAGCAGCAAAGGAGGACCTGCCATACTATCTATGTGGAATAAGCTCAAAACACTGAAAGGGGCCCTGAAACAACTGAACAAGCAAGAGTTCAATGGAATAGGGAGTAAGATACAAGTAGCAAGGGGGAGGTTAGAAAGTATACAAGACCAAATGACCATCTCAGGTCAAGATGCTAAGACAGTAGCCCTTGAAAAAGCTACAAAGTTAGAATTGGAGAAATGGCTGATGGTTGAGGAGAGTGTTCTAAAACAAAAATCTTGAATACAATGGCTTAAACTTGGAGATTCCAATACAGCATACTACCATGCTTGCATGAAAAATAGGCAAGAAAGGAATAGTATTGGCAGATTAGTCACTAGCACTGGGCAAATCCTACAAAGTCCAACTGAAGTGGAGGAAGAAATTCTAAGCTTCTATAGGGGTCTACTTGGTACTGCAGCAACACAACTGCCAGTTGTCAACCCAGAGTTCATGCAGAATGGCCATATATTAAATAGGATATATTAAATAGGAGGCAACAGTTACAGCTAATAAGACCAGTTACCAGAGAGGAAGTGAAACAAGCTATAATGGACATTGATGACAACAAGGCACCAGGGTGTGATGGATATAACTCTCTCTTCTTTAAGAAAACATGGCACATACTGGGTGAGGAAGTAACTGCAGCAATTATAGAGTTCTTTGAAAGTGCAGATATGTGCAAAGCATCAACTGCACAACCATCACCTTGATACCAAAGGTTCAGAATCCAACAAACATTAAGGACTTCATGCCAATTTCATGCTATACATTACAAGATAATTTCAAAAGAGCTCAACAAGACTGCATGATGTGATGGAAGAATTGATAGATAATTGCCAAGTTGCCTTTGTACCTGGGAGACTGATTACAGACAACATAATTATGATCCATGAACTGGTCAAAGGCTATGGAGTACCTAAGTAGGTTGAAGACTGAAGGTCAATAAACAATTTAGATTCCATCCAAGGTGTGCCAAATTCAATCTAGTTCAACTGAGATTTGCAGATGACTTACTTTTATTCTATAGAGGAGACATTCAATCAGTACAGATACCGCACCAGCACTTCCAAATGTTCTTATCAGCCTCAGGCCTAATTGTTAATCCAAATAAAAGCTGCATTTATTTAGAGGTGTGGATAACCTGCTTCAGCCTGCTTCATCAGCAAATTATGGACATATTAGGCTATGCAAATGGTGAACTACCTTTCAGATATCTGGGTGTCCCATTGAGCACTAAGAGGTTGTCTACTATCCAATGTGAACCCTTAATAGAGAGGATGTTAAGCAGGATTCAAAGTTGGACCATAAAGTTTCTGTCGTATGCAGGAAGAGCAGTACTATCAAGAGTGTGCTATTTGCTATACAAACTTTTTGGGCTCATATCTTCATTTTGCCCAAGAAAATTATCGACTTCATAGAAGCAATCTGTAGAAGGTTCTTATGGACAGGAAATGTTGAACCAACAAAGAAGGCTTTGATAGCCTGGGACAAATTGTGTGCACCAAAGGTAGCTGGGGGATTAAATTTTATCAATGTGGAGCTGTGGAACAAAGCAGCCATATGCAAGCTACTATGGAGTATTTGCACAAGAAAGGAGAAACTGTGGATACAATGGGTGCATACTTATTACATAAAGGGGAACACAATCTGGAATACAGAACCAAAGAATACATCATGGGCCATACAAAAGATATTCAAAGCAAGGAGCTACTTTGCGAATGCAGGGTTCTCAGAAGAAGATGTTCAGAAGATGGAAAATGCTCTGTCAAACAAATATACAAAGCCATGCAAGGAGAATTTCCAAAGATGACATGAAGGAAATTAGTATGCAACAATCAGGGACAACCCAAGTGGATATTCATACTAAGGCGGGCAATTCAGCAAAGACTTGCTACTAAAGAAAGGCTAGTAAGATGGGGTATAATTGCAGAACAAACATGCTCATTATGTAACAAAGAAAATGAGACAGTGCAGCACCTATTCTTTGACTGTGAGATAGCGGAGAGATATGGCAATGACTATTGGAATGGCAAGGTATACGAAGACCAAAGAAAGCTTGGCAGGAGGAGGTGACATGGCTGGAGCAAGTGAGAAAAGGACAGAGTGCAGGTGCAGCAGTATGTAGGATGACCCTAGCAGCTGCCCTACCACATTTGGCAAGAAAGGAACAATGTGATTTTTCAGAAGAAGAGGAGAACAAGCAATGCTATATTACGATTGATCATTCAGGAAATACATATCAGGGCTGCCAAATTTCCTTGTTTAGATAGAGCAATGGCTATTTTAAATTGGTATCCTGAAGTAAATAAAGTATGAAGTAGCAGTTAAGCAATAGAAGCAGTAGAAGTAATAGTGATAGGCAACTCCTAGCTGGGGCTTCATGTCCAGTAGTAGGTATGCTAGAGCTTTTTGTAGTACATTGTACAAACTTTAAATATTGTTACTTGGTAAATAAAATACTTTAATTACCAAAAAATAATAGTTTAAGGACTCAATTAAAAATAGATTATTTTTAACATGAAATAGTTTCTTATACTTAGCAAAAGAAAATTACCATGCAAACTAGATTATAAAGGCAAAGAACTATATATATATATATATATATATATATATATATATATATATATATATATATCGTTTGCACTTTTAATCTAGTTCTTTGCTGTGTGTGTATGTGTAATAATAAATTTTGAATAGTCCAATGATCTTTTGAGTAATAGACTTGAATATAGGAGCTAAGTAGCTCAACAATCATCAAAACTTCTAAACCTTAACTAAATTTGGAAATGTTATCCTAGCGTTGCTAACGCGCCGCTCATTTGCCGCTCTAATTCTTTTTCATATGTTAAGTATTTTAAAATTCTTTTTGACTATGAGACTCGAACCCAAATTTATTATCTGGTTTGATACTAATTTTAAGTGTATGAGCATCTCAACTTAAATTGAAAAATGTTCAAGGTAATGTACGTGCACCTACTTAATTATCTCTTAAACATAAAAACCAAAAAAAATGTAAATGAATGACTTCTCTCTCCATCTCGTTTCAGTTTTATCAAATGTCATGAAAGCAATAGACCTCTCTACTCCATTGCGGAAATCATAGCTTATGTTATTCGATATTTGAAGATTCGAATTACATGCCACACAAAAGATTTCAATAATTAGTGTAGACATAAAATCTTTATCTTTCGTTTGTGTAAAGTGTTGAAGTAAAAAAAAAAAAAAAAAAAAAAACTGAAAATGGACCTAAAGTGTTAAAGTGGCCAAATAATTATTTCTATTTGGCCAGCATATGAGGGGAAAAAAATCAAAAATAGCTAAATTTACATTTGTAATTGGAAAATGGTCACAGTTTCAAAGTAATCAAAAGTTTAGCTATTTTTTAATGTAAAGATAAAATCTGAACAAAAATACCTTTAAAAATCCAGGAATATTCCAGCATAATATGCTGGAGTTTGAAGTTTTTACATATGAAATTTTAGCATAATGTGCTAGAATTTCATAATGTATTAGAGTTCCAACATATTATACTAGAAGTTTAAACGCAAAAGCTCTATAACCCGGCATATTATGCTGGAACTTTACGTGTTTCAGCAAAACAATGACTACTTTTCAATGAGTTTACAAATGCTGGCTATTTTTCGAATACCAGCCCGAAAATTGCTAGCCCGTGCTATTTTCACCCTAATTTAATTGAGTATACCAGGTTGAATTACGTTGTGTATATTATTAAGGTATACAACATATGAAATGTATATTCCAAGCATACAACGTACATAACTATTGGGTATTTTGTAAATATTTATCCTAAATCTGCAAGGAAACTATTTACACATAGTAAGTAAATATCTTAATAAAAAATATAGAGTTTTTGATCAAAGTTACTAAATTCCATTGAAAATACAACTAGAACTCTTGCTCCGCTCGTGTGTATTAATCCAATAATACACAATAATTAGGTTAGGAAAACTGCAAAATTTATTAGCTTCACCTAATGATTAAATGCGCGCACTCAAAATTTATAAGCCAATATTTCAATGAAACTTTATAAGGCAATTAAATGCGCGCCCCCAAAATTTATAAGCCAATGGACACAAAATTTATTAGCTTCAATCAATAATCTCTCCTTTCCTTGAATAACTTTTAATTGGTAACTTAAAAGAGGAGTTTACTGAATACAATACGAAAGGATCACAAAAGTATAAGTCAATTGTGATGTGGTGTGAATAAAGTCTCACATGAAACTTAAAAAAAAGGTTACTTATAAGGTGTTGAATACTACAATGGCGTGAGGCCTTTCGGGAAAGATCGTGCAACTTTTCCCAAAGCAAACAATATCACAACACCACGTTACAATATTTTTATCATTTAGCCGAACACCAATGACACATCTGGCTTGATTAGGTTTTTCTTGTTGTGTTGAGGAATTAATTTATTTTCCAAAAGGAAGTTCCAACATTCCAAACAAAAAAACTCTAATAAGCTGAAGGTGCACTGTTGTAAGGATCATCAAATGCTGCAACATTGCCTGGTCGTGAAAATACAATCTACAAGAACAGAAGAACCCTTTGAGTTGTTTTACTTCTCAAAAATTGGTAAAATAAAAGTGTATCCTCTCCATTTACTAAAGTTTTTATATGAAGTAGTTCACATAATTCAACATGGTAGCAAAGCAACCGAGCTCCTAAGTTCGAGTTCAATCGCTATGCTTCACAAGAAAAAAGAGTCTTATCCTGAAGAACGTGAAGAGTCATGTTGAAAATACAATTACGTTAATAAAATTATACCATCTCTAATAACTCAAATTTTTAAGTGAGGTAGTTAATATGATTCAACATTAATTGGTTTTAAGTGTCTTCAAAGATTTATTGCCATTACCTGATAATCTCCTATTGTGCATGTTTTGAATCCAGCAGCACAGCAGTCAAAGTAGTACTCCCATGTTCTGATGAACTTGTCATCGAATCCCAATGCACGAATTTGGCTAGTGACACAGTTATTAATGGCCAACTATCAGCATTTAGAACGGATCAAGCAGCAAATTAAATGATTCACGAAAGAAACAGTTTTATCTCAGCATAGAAGGTAGTTACATCTGATTTTCCAAGAAGTTTTTCCGCCAACATCTCAGTGTCTGATAATAATGAATTCCGATCTCTTCCAGGTGCACTACACTGCATTTATATGATTTATGAAATGCTTTTGAAAGATTGACAAGGACGCTAGTGCAACAACAACAACAATAAACCCAGTGAAATCTCACAAGTGCGGTCTGGGGAGGGTATTGCGTATGCAGACCTTACCCCTACCTATAGAAAGGCAGAGAGGTTGTTTCCGGTACACCCTCGGCTCAAGAAAGATAAAAGGAAGAAGCAACATCAAGCAAACCCATCAGAAAACCAAAGCGATAATACAAGACTAACACTGAGTGGTGCAATCAGAAACCAAAGTGAAACAAATAACAAGTAATAACAGAGATAAGGACGCCAGTGCAAAATCACAAAATGAACTCTTTCTTACCATAATCTGGATGCCGCAGCCATGGCTGATGTTACTCGACTTAGTGCAGGCAAGCATCCGCCTGGGAATATATACACTTTTATGAAGCTTATGCTTTGCCTGTATTCGCCATACCTCTCATCTGGCACCGAAACGAACTAAGGAAAGCCAACGATTGTGAAAAGCAGCATAAAGAAACAAGAGCAACAGAACATTGTAGGAAATTGAAGGGAAAAAGTGAACAAAGTGGACTGTGTTAAGGGATCACTTTAATTCATTACCTGCAGAACTAGAAGCCCGTCTTCTGCCAATGCAGACTCACAGCAAGTAAAGAATTCATCCATAAAGTCATGACCAACATGTTCTATCATCCCACTGAAAATGAAATTAGTTCAATTGTAACACTGGCTCGACATATAGTGAGTACTACAATATGTCAAGATGTAGAGGATAAAAGCTCACATTGATACAATCCTGTGATATTTGTCCTTATTTGGCATTTGACGATAGTCACATAGGAGAAGTGAAATCCGATCCTGCGAAAAAATTTCATTGAATTGAATATTAATAGATAACCCTAGCTTTAAAGTTGCACGGTTTTGGCTTGCAAGTGCTAAGCAGATCATGTTCTCATGTTAATCTTATAAAGACAAATGTGGGAATGCAACATACAAAGAAGCATTTTAGTTAATTTTGTACCATAACTTCTCTGGCCTGACCTGTGACCTATGTTGCTTGGACTCTCCGAAAATATTGCCGGGTGCGTGTCGATCACCCAAAAATAGTGTATTTTTAGAGGATCCGACACGGGTGCAGCAGCATTCTAGAGAGTCCGTGCAACATAGGCTATGAAGGTTTAGTCATGAATTGCAATCTCCTAGTTGCTTTATCATTTTCCTCAGCTTATAGCAATTATATTTGTCGCGTAGGCTAAGCCATCGATAAGAGAAGGGGGGTATTATTATGGGGATTCCTGCATTAAGAGATACTGTAAGGCTATTATACAATCTAAATTGGACGGTTTCCTTTGCTGTGCCTGTCCATATATAGAGGAAAATTTCCTGAACCACGTATATCCGTGATCAGTCGCAGTTATTTCTATACATCAGTTTTGAACTGGTCATTGCACATCTTCACTTCTCCGGTTAAGATTTCAAAAAACTTCTTCAAAGATTTCCGAGAAATCCTCATCAAATGTTCTTAATATGGGCAGCAACAAGAATGAAATCTTAGTGATCTAAACGGATGAGAATGAAATTCCAAACTCAAAACTTTTGAGCTTCAACATTGTAAGTACAATCTATACCTGAAGGCCTGCTTGCTCAACTATCAACTGTGCATACTCCAGTTGCTGCTCGGAGAGAGTTATACCAGTATATTTACACCCTGTTTGCTTGACAACTTCCACAGCAAAACTGCCCCAACCAAATCCTATCTCTAACATGTGATGTTCCTTGCTAATTTTTGCCTAAATAGAATAGAAGCAGAATCAAATTATGCTTGAAATCTATGATGAAACAAGAGAGCTTTTTACATAGTTGATGACCTTTTTAATGAGAACGGAAATCTTTCTAAGCTGTGCATCTTTTAGGTCTTCATCCTCACTCTAGAAAAATTATGAGAGAAAACTAGATCACCATTGGATGACATTAAAGAACAGTAAATGTAGCTTAACATGCGAAGACAAAAAAGGTGGCAAGCATTTAAAATTTTGAGAGCTAACCTTGAATATTGCACATGAGTATGTCATAGTCTCATCCAGAAAGAGTGAGAAGAGTTCATTACTCTGAACAAAACATCAATAAAACAATGCTTATCATCTACACAATAGCAGCCCATATTAGACAAGAAAATTACAGGAAAATAGATGAAAGTGAAAAAGCTACTGCAACTGGCAAAGAATACGCGCAGGATTGAGTACTTCAATTTCACTACTAATCTTTGACATCCCCTACATACTTTGGGTGATATAATATGCACAAGTTATTTACCAGGTCATAGTGACGGGAGATATTCCGACGAGCCTGAGTCAGGGTGTTTTGATTCAAAAAATGTCGAATGAAATACTTTGCAGATGGCAGTGCTGCTGTAAAAAGGAATGGTGTCCACCAGCCTCTAGAGCCATGCAAAGTGATGAAAAACTTTAACATATGAACAGAAGTTTATGTTTCTTTATTTCAAGTTGAGGACAAACTATTTACCTTTTCTTGCTAGAACTTGTAACAGACGCTTTCAAATCACTGTTGGCAACAAATATCTGTAAAAGAATTCAGGAAGCTAAGTACCAAACAAATGCTATTTACAAAGAATCTAGTTATTTCCTCACCATGATAAGATTAAGAAGACCTTCATTCTTGTCAACAAAAGAGAAATCCCCATGAATAAAAGCATCAGCAAGGCCTATTTCAGCTTCAGTTGCAATCTATATCACAGAATTTGTCAAGATTTGGATTTAGTTTTCCTGTTTGGGTTTTATCGCTTGATAACGTGAAGGGGGGAAAAGAGAATTTCAATTTACCTTCCAGTAAAACTGTGGACTATTAATTCTAAGAGAAACTTTCAGAGAGCATTTCCTCTCTGTTCCTTGGAAGGTGAAAACTGTTCCTCCTCCTTCAAACAAGCTGTACATCGCAAAATATAAAGTAATTATCCAGATATCTTCAATATTTAGAAGAAACTACTACTACTACTAAGACTCAGTCTCAAACAAAGATGGGGTCGGCGATATGGCTCCTCACTTCTTGCTCAACTCATATCGGCATCATGCCAAAATAAAATAAGAGTTACAGTGAAATTAAGTTAAATATATATAAATAATAGTGACAATTATAAGAAAAGTAATATTTTAAAGCCTATTCCTAACTAGTAAGTATCACCTATATGGATATTTTTCTTCCATTGTGCCTGCCTTTAGCTAAGTTGCATGATTCCAAAGATTTATAAGTCTTTCGAGACAACGTATTTTCATGTAATTTTAGGTCTACCTTGCCCCTTTTTAATACCTTCATTCACCATAGTTTCACACCTACGGACCGGTGCATCTATAGGGCGATGCAAGACATGACAAACCCATCTCAAGTGACCTTCTCTCATTTAATCCTCAATGCTTGCTACTTGCACTTTCTGGCAAATGTCTTCATTTTTTATCTTATCAAATCTTGTATGACCGCACATCCATCTTAGCATTTGCATGTCTGCATTACTCATCTTGTGGATATGTTGGACTTTAGTTGCCCAACATTCACTGCCATATAACATTGTCGGTCTTATAGTTATTCTATAGAGCTTACCTTTCACTTTGGTAGGCATCCTTCTATCACGTAACACTACGGTAGCACTTCTCCGTTTCAACCATCCTGTTTTAATCCTATGGATAACATCTTCATCTATCACCTCTCTTGAAACAACGAGCCTATATATCTAAATTGTTTGCATGTTGACACTGCAATCCCATCTAGTCTCACCTCAACTTCGTTGTTCTCATGCCGACTAAACTTACAGTGTCTTACTCCTACTTATCCTATAACTTTACAAAAACTCAAAAATCTCCAAAAAAATATTCAAACATTTTCAGCATGAATAATTAAGACAATTTTGAAGCTATGTATAATAGAAGAAATAATATTGCAATAAATTGTGATTCAGATGTGAGTTGTCTTGCAACATGCTTTTCGACTTGTATATGAACTTTAAGCCAAAGAGATTTGAATAAAAGAAGTGTATTTTCTCGATAAAATAGTCATTCTGCATATTGCTACCATTCAAATAGCAAATATATTTAAATAAGTCTAGAAGCTCATGTGGACAGCCGTTAGTTTTGAGGGTAAGTATGGCCCAATTTTTAGACGGTGAGGAACTTTTTGATACCAAAAACAAACAGAGGACAAAGTGCTTTATTTCTGATAGTTCAAAGGCAATTTTGAGCCTTTTCAGCATAAGAAATAGGATAGATGGAGATAAACAAGTTGTTAGATATGTATCTGCCACTATTTTGGGATTAAAGCAATACAAGGTGAAACACATTACTCACATTATGCATCCTGTTTTAATGAAACTTCTGAAAAATCTTGTAACAACGAGGCGTGCTCCTGTTTCAGGCCAGGTTGGTACCATGTGCTTGGGTTTGTCCAGAATATTAGAATTCCTTCTAAGCATGCCATCTGCAGCAGCCACACCCACCTGAGGAGGAGCAAACGTAGAGAATCATCCACGTGACATTAAAGGGACAACAAAAGCTGGAAAAGACTTCAAATTGTTTTCAGAGTAAGGTGATACTTCAAGTTAAAATCTGTTGAGCTTGTTATTAGCAAAAGTAGTACTACCTTTAGTCCATCCTCATGGAAGCCATAACCTGGAAGTATCGCAATAAATATACATCAATAAGCAGTGAAAAACAAAGCGGAAAAAAAGTCTATGCACTAAAGGGAAGCAAGGACTAAAGACGGAACAACTCAAGCTACAATCTTTACCAGTTGCTTTCCTTTAACATTATGCAAATAAAGGAAGTGAATTAAACCAAGACACGAGGTTGTTGAGCTCACTCGCAGGCATCAAGTTGAAACGGAAAGAAAAAAAGAAAGTGAATGAAGCTCTCTTTGCAAAGACAGCTTGGCGACTTGTTTAGTACCCTCCGTCTCGATGGCCCAGGGCTATTTCATCTAAATAGAAACGGAGTAATCTTATCCGCCGAGAGTCGGAATAAAACAGATTCAAATTTATAAGCTGCAAAATCCAAGGACTAACGGAGAGAACTATAAAAAGTCCGGAGAAAGAAACTATATTGTTTCATACACTGGGCTCTGCAAGTGATTTCAGTTAAAGGAACTGGTTCTCTAAATGAAAATTGTTGAAGTCCAGCAGCAGACTAAGCACGATAGCAGGTTACAAAGGAACACGTATCTTGAAACAACGGTCCATGCTCTGCATAAAAATGGAGATTCATACCTTGATATGCTCCACAAAACCATATTCCTCTCTTCCCGTGGATTTGATCTAGCTCACGTGAAGCTTTTGATGCAGCAACTGAGGGGACTAGGTAGCCTGTTGTCCATTTAAGCAATGTATGCTCTGGTGTGTGAGGAGGATCAATGGTTACGAGATAAGGCAGCTTTGAGTCACCAAGATTCTGTAAGTTTAGACAGCTCATAAAATAAGAGGGCTGTCACTAAAGAGAAGACTCTCCACTGAAGAAGAGTATCTTCTAATTTCTATATAAGGTCATAAATCGACGTATTGCATAACACCTGGATTACATTGAGCCAATATGTCACGCATCCTCTATTATTCGTAGTTCCAAGAAAGTTCAAAGCACTCCATGCTGCTGGGTCGCGAGGCAGGAATGTTTTGTCACGATGAAGGAAAATATCGCTGTCATAGAGGAAGAAAAAATGATTTTTCATTTAGACATCATATATCTTGACTATGGTCCAATCCACCAACTTCTCTCAAACCAGGCAGCATTGCAGCAAGAGAAATAAGTTAAAACGAATTTGTCAAGAAGATGCACCTCTTCAACATGACATTCTGCCCCGTTAAACTGTGCTCATGGTAGAATTTTAGAGGCGGAATTACTAACTATATTAATCTTAGTTCAGAAACCTAGCAGGTTGTAGCTGTTAATTGACTACAACCAGCCACAATTAGAACATGCATTTTAACTGAATTTCACTAAAGCACAAAATAGGGCTCCTCTGGTAACAGAAAATACAAATGCGAACATGGCTATGCATTTTAACTGAATTTCACTAAAGCACAAAATAGGGCTCCTCTGGTAACAGAAAATACAAATGCGAACATGGCTAGACCTTCTTCATCTGTCGATACAGAATTTACTTCACAACCACTTCTTATTTGGCAGCCTCTCTTCGCCAGCTCCTCCTTAACCTGCATTCAATGTCCCCCATCAAATTACTCTCAAGGATGACACATGCTTAACATATCATGCAACAAAGTGAAATTTGGTAATTGCCTGAAATTTTCCTCAGGGAAATAGTAAAAACTTTGTGGTATCTATGAATAAAAATTCACCTTGTTTACAGATGTATGTGATCCCCATCTTACAGTGAGCAACAGAGAGAGACCAAAGAGCTTTAAATAAAGAACAAAAGCACCCTTAGACACAAGTATAATAAAATGATATATATGTAAGCATTCAAATTCAGTCTCTTGCATTTAACAATTGGGTATAATCTACACACAAAGTACGCTAATTGAACAGTTGATGAGTGGAAGAACCTGAAGAAGATGGTGGTCGCGGAAGAATGAAAGAATAGAATAAGCAGAAAAGCCCATTACTCCTTCTAAGGGACAGGACCAGATTGAAGAACATATTGGAATCTGTGAAACATATGAGTAAATTGCTTATAGCAAGGGCAATTTGTTGAGTGAACAAAAAGCGTATTACACCTATCAAATCAATAACTACCACAATCGCAGTGTCACCACTCACCAGATATGCCTTCAGAAATAACTCCGTACAGCCATTTGACTTAATAAATTGCCATAATGTTTCATCGCGGTCAATGTCAGGATTGTTGTCAAGTACTTCAAGGTAACTGCAATGAGATCAGAAACGTATTCGTGATGAAATAAACTTCATTGGAGTTAGCTCTTTCCTTGACACATATACAATAGAAAGTATACAAAACAGAACAATTTAGTCCATTTTAATCAAATGCATGATGTTCAAATGAACAGAGAAGACTCTGTGCTCTAAATTTCTAATGAGATTAGTAAATCAACAAATTGCTCAAATAAGAAGGCATATTTAAAGACAAATAAGTTATTGGTACCTTATGACATGCTGCTTGAACTTGATAATTTCTGTAATCATTTGCCAAAAATATGGATTCAAGACATTCTTCTTCTGTGCAAACAAACTAGAGATTCCATTTCGGGTACCCCATTCGCAACCACGGCCTTTGTCTACGCTCACTGAAAATGACATATCAGATATCTCCATTTCAACTCCAAAGAACTCAAAAAACTCCATCATGTTTGGATAAGTTACCTGTCAAACACATCATTTCAGCATTAACATGTTGAATTCATGCGTCCGTCCTTGAGTGCAGGGGCGGATGTTGAGTAACGACCATGAGTTTATCCCAACTCATAACTTTCGACGCGGAGCATAAATTTATGAATAAAAATTCATTAAATTTCAACAAATGGTAGGTCCGAACCCATAAATTTAAAGATATAATAGGTAATATAATAATAGGTTAAAGCCTTAGAGTTGAACCCATATAGTTTAAATCATGAATCCACCTCTTTAGTGCCCCAACTTACCCCTTCATTTGCAATATATGTTTATACCTCCCTGTTTCTTACAGTAAAATTAAGAGCACCAAATTTTCCCCTTTTTTTCCAAAAAATTTTCACTTTTTCCGAAATCAAGGTTTGTTCATAAAATTTGCTTAAAGATGCATTTTCGAAATTTACGAAATTTTGAAAAAAAACTCCAAAAAGCTATTTTTTAAAATTTTCACATAACAAAACTTCAAAAACAACCCAAAATTGTATTATGTCCAAACACAAGTCTCAATTTCAAATACCATTTTTACCATGTTTTGGAATTTTACAATTCTTACGTCCAAACGCCCACTAAGTATCAGTTTTTAAAATCCACTATTTATTCCTCATTGGCTAAATGCCTAGATAACCCCTTAAAGTTAACATAATTTGTCAGTTAGCTACTCAAACTTAATTGCTGACTATATGAACACTGGTCTTTTGAAAGGTTAAGAGCCCGTTTTGGACATTTTCACTTTTTTTCAAATTGGCGTTTGCTGTAAAATTTCCAATTTTATGCATTTTGGAATTTTTTAAAAATTTAAAAAACTCCAAAAAGTTATTTTTCAAAATTTTCACTGAAATCACTTACAAACTTCAAAAACAATTCAAAATTATATTTATATCCAAACACAACTCTAATTTTCAAATATAATTTTTACTTGAACAAAAATTTCATATATTTTTTTTGAAATTTTACAATTCTTATGTCCAAACGCCCACTAAATTTTGATGGTGAAGTTGGGCAGCAGACGTGTCTGTTCTTTGCACTAATGTGAGAGAGACGAAGAAGAAAACACAACACAAATGAGCTAAAAAAATTTGGGACTATATTTCAGAGAAGGAGAAGAGACAGTTATAGGACTAGGGCTTTTTTTTTGCTTTTTTGGGTTAAAACAATAGTGAAGACAATTTTACGGAAATGAGGTTAATTTGAATATAATAATTTTATTGTGAGAAGAGCTGACTCAGCAACTTGTAGAAAAAACTTAAGCTCTCAAACATAACTTGAAAAAAAAAAGATTTTTGAAATTTGTGATCTTAAAAATTAAAAGCTAAAACCTTTGGTGTGATTTAAAAATTTGTTACTATAAAGGCTTTTCATTAATATAAAAATTAATAAAATAAAAGTTTTAAAATTAAATTATTTTTAAATATAAAAGTATACTAACCTAATTAAAAAAAGGTGGCACATAAATTGAAGGAAAAGGAGTACTAAGCAACAGGCGGTGCCATGTAGGACTGCTTTTCAAAAGACACTTGGCCTCATTTGTTTGCACTTAATGGAGGTCTGAATCTTAATCATTCAGATCTCAGACATTAAGTGCGTTTGTTTTTAAAGTCTGAATCTTAATTATTCAGATCTTAATCATTAAGTGTGTTTGTTTTTTTATTTCACAATCACTTAATGGGTCTGAATAGGTCTGTATGATTAAGATCTATAACAGAGACTTAATTTCATTAAGATGCTATCACATATTCATTATTAATTGCCGCCACCGCCTACCATTATCAACTACCACCATGCCGCCGCCACCACCACCACCATAATCACCCCCTCCCCCACCACCACCACCACAACGCCACCATCATCCTCAATCATAGCCGCCACCATTATCGACTATCACCACCCACCAACCCCACCACTCCGACCACCATCATTCTCACTCACAATCAATACTTATCCACCTTAACTGCCACAATTCAACCACCCCATCACTATTAACAACCACAACTGGCACCGCTCATCATTATAACTTATCACCACCTTCCTTAATCACAAACCACCGCCCGCTATTATTAACTATCACCACCCACCACCACCATCCTCAATCATAATCGCCGCCGCTACCAATCACTACTAGCTACTAGCATGAACCACCATGATCAACCAAAACTACCACCAACTACCGCCTCTAGTCGGCATTCACCCATTAGCCATCACCACCAACAACTATCATATTTTAAAAAACTATATATTTTATTGATGGCATATTAGATTAGTTAGTATTTCATTTGAATTTTATGTTTATTAATTTTCAAATAAAGATAAATTTTATACATTCAGATGTTAAAAATCAAACAGTCTTAATTATTTCTATTCAGATCTTAATACACATCTTAATATATTCAGATGTGTANCATGCTAGTAGCTAGTAGCGATTGGTATTGGTGGCGATTATGATTGAGGATGGTGGTGGTGGGTAGTGATAGTTAATAATGTCGGTGGTGATAGTAGTTGTGATTGAGAAAGGTGGTGGGTGGGTGGTGGTAGGTTATAATGATGCGCAGTGCAGGCTGTGGTTGTTGATGGTGATGGGGTGGTCAGTTGTGGTAGTTGAGGCGGATGAGTGTTGATTGTGGGTGAGAATGATGGTGGTCGGAGTGGTGGGGCTAGTAGGTGGTGATGGTAGATAATAGAGGCTGTGATTGAGGATGGTGGTGGCATGGTGGTGGTGGGGTGGTTATGGTGGTGGTGGTTGAGTATGGTGGTGATGGTGGCATGGTGGTAGTTGATAATGGTATGCGGTGGCGGCAATTAATAATGAATATGTGATAACATCTTAATGAAATTAAGTCTCTGTTATAGATCTTAATCATATAGACCTATTCAGACCCATTAAGTGGTTGTGAAGTACAAAAAAAATACTTAATGATTAAGATTTGAATAATTAAGATTCAGACTTTAAAAACAAACACACTTAATATCTGAGATCTGAATGATTAAAATTCAGACCTCCATTAAGTGCAAACAAATGGGGCCTTATACAAGATGAGGTGTTTATATGGTCGTTAGTTAAATTTGGGTAACTGTCAATCATGATAAATTTTCTTCCTCAAGGAAATTACTAGATAATGATAAGATTGCATAACATTATTTTTATTTCATTATCTCACAAGATATAATTTTTCCTAATATTATTTGACTTGACACTTATTTGGAAGATAATATTCCATTTTTAAAAACTATTCACATAAATGATTACTAATCTTTATTCATTTTAAAATCGATACATTTTTTTTAGCATTTCACGTTGGTCACTCATTAACTAAAGGATCTCTATACATCAATACACTTTATTATATTTCCTTTTCCCTCTCTCTTTCATAATTTTTTTCTTCTCTCCATAAATAACACTTATCCAAATATATCAAAGATTCTGACAAAAGGAATATCTAAAAAATAATCTTCTCTTTAACGAGGTTTCACCATGGAAATTTTAGTATCTTTTTTTTTTTTAAGTTTTAAGCATTCTAATTGTTTGGACATTTAGATCTATAAGCATGTATGAAGTAGTGTAACTTAAATTCAGTAAACATTTAAGAAACGTACATTGTATCGCCACATATTTTTTTATTTAATAATTTTATATTCTATTACATTTGGATATAATAGTTATACATTCATCGTATCTTTCTAGAATAAATTTAAATATTTATGTTATTTTTTAATATAAATTTGTCATAATAAATTTAAAAATCCTTTATGTCATGATTTTCTCTTCCTTTTCATTATTTTCTCTCCCTGCCACAAAATTCAATTACTAAATAAAATGAAAGGACGTAAATATTATTGAGTTACTTTTATACTTTATATATAATAGTATTATTATATAATATTTAAATAACTACAATGTGCTCTAAATATATAATATTTATACAATAAAGATGTGGTATATTTTATATTATAAAATTTAATATTCCGTATATACATCGTATATATTTATCATATTGAGAAAAAGAATTATATACGATGTATATCCAAATAAATAACATTTAATTTATACTTTATAATATACTTATTAAACTTTATATTATACAATATGTATAATAGGTAAATATAATAAAAATCACTTATTCATCGAAGTATGCACTATTATACAAGCATTCACATTTATACCACCAAATAAAACGTCACCATAATTGAAATAGAAAGAAGTACCAATAAAACAACAATTAATGACAATTTCATTATTAGATGGGAAACTGAAACCCTTTGGCGTGATTGTAGGTAAGAGGTTAAAGTTTTCTGCTAGGAATATAATTATTTAGTTGCCTTGTACGTAAAATACCTATTGCCCAATAATCTTTTATGATTTAAAACATATAGATATTAGTCTGTTTTGTTAAACTTAAAAAATCTGCTTATTTTAAAATATAATTTGTTGAGAATTTCTTTTTAAGGAAGTACTTTTGGAGAGTAGTAATACTTTGCTTTTTTTGTTAATCAATTTAAAAACCACTTGGTCAAACGTTTTAAAAAAGTACTTACCCGATTGAAGGCCATAAAACCAAGGTCAAGATGGACGCCATCGACGGTAACAGTCTTGGCATGGCCGCCGAGATAATCTTCCTTCTCATAAACCACAACTTTCACTCCAGATTTTGCCAATTCATATGCAGAAACAAGTCCACTTATCCCTGCCCCAACCACTGCTACTTTCATGTTTAAAACTTAGGCTTCAAAGTTACAACTGCATGCAATAACACTAATCAAGATTAATTAGAAGTAATTAGTAGTCACTAGTCAGTAAACTGCAAACTTTATCTTTAATTTATACATTACATATCACTCATTATATGAGCATAGCTATGGAGTTGTTGGTGTTTAAGGTATTATAATGGTGGTAAACTTACCTTAAGGATATTGCTGTGAGTTTTAAGGGTTGAGGATATTCTAAACATGCAGTAAGAAGGGAAATGAAGAGAAGAAACTCCTTAATATCTTTGTGCCAAATGCATTGCTTTGCCCAGAAGATTTGCTACTTTGTTTTGCTCTCTGAAAATGAACGGAATATCAGGATCTCCTAATCAGTTGACTATTTATAACCAGGGGCGGCTCAAGAACCAAGGAGGCATAAAGCCAAATTTTATTAGGAGGCCTTAAATTTAAAAGAAATTTATATTAATTTGTTTCATGCTTTATAGTTGAAATATGTGTATTCTAATATATAACCTAAAAAAATTCGTAATGCACTACTATGAGGTAAAAATATAAGAAAATAAGAAATTTCAAATTTAAACAAAAAAAAATTATAGAAAGTTAGAACAATAGAACTTGATTCTAGAAGTTTATAACTTGACATCGTAATAGAATTCTATTGTTTTACCTTGTTTGTTGTAATACTTAAGAACATGAGAAAGAATGAAAAGAAAAAAATTAATTTATTCAATATCCTTAGATTTTTTGGAGAATGGACAACTTAGTAACTAGAGAAAGAAAAGACAATATAAAATACAAGTATTATTATGAGAAAAAATGGAATATTAATATTAGAATGTAAATTAACTATTAGTCATAGATCCCATTGGCAAAATAATCAATTTTTTTATCATAAATATTTAGTTATTTTTAGAGGAAATTATCACATAATTAATATATTATTAATTTTAAAATGGGGCCCTAAATATTTGGGGGTCTAAAGCCATTGCATTATTTGCTTGGCCCTTAGGCGGGCACTGTTTATAACCTGCACAAGATACTTCCGTTTGGATATGTTGGGTTAAAACGGACCAAAGATATGGTGTGATAGTGTCCACTTTGGACTAAGGCCGTACCTATTGGCCTTACACCATTAAGAGTATTCAACTTCTTATAAGGTGAAAATAGCATGGGATAGCCAGTTTTCGGACAAGTAATCAAAAAATAGCCAGCATTTGAAAAGTTATTGAAAAATAGTCGCGTATAAATTTCCAGCATATTATGTTGGAACTCCAGCACATTATGCTGGAATTTTTCCGAATTTTAAGGGTTTTTTTTTTTTTTAGATTTTATCTTTACATGAAAAATGGCTAAATTTCAATTACTTTTGAAATTGACTATTTTTCAGTTACCAATTGTAAATGGGGCTACTCTTTATTTTCCCCCATTATAAGTAGCTTATTTTTCTTTTCTACTTTTCATGTGGTACCTTCTTCACACAAACTCAATAATCTTTCCTTTGAAATAAGTTCCATATAACTCATTACCATTTATGGGCTAATGTGACGATAAAGTGTGTGCAAGCCACATGATCCGAATTTTTATGGTCACCCAAGCTAGCAGAGAGGCCGTGTATGCGTCTTTGAAATTACGGGTAAAAGTGGTAAATCAGCCTATAGACGGGCAAAGGCACTAAGTCGGTCCTACGCCATCACTCCGCCATCTTCATTCTCATCCCGCCAAACCATTGCCTCTGATTAGGGGTGTACATAGGGCGGGTTGATTCGAATTTTACAATTACCAAACCAAACCAATTGTGTCGGGTTATTAAATCTAAAGACCAAACCAAACAATAAAACTCAGGTTTTTCGATTTCGGTTTTTCTCGGGTTTTCGGGTTATTCAGGTTTTTTCGGGGTTTTTTCGGGTAAAATCTTCGTAGAACAAAACATATAACTTGTGCTCAAAAAATTTCTTTAATCCTAGTAAGATACAACTATATAAAGTAGTTTCCAAGAAAATAATACAAAATATGAGATGTGTCATGGCATTATCCTAAAATATTCAACAATAAAGACAATAAAATTATATAATATGAATATTGCTAATTAAATTAAAAAGCCATAATAAAAATAAACATAATCTAAAAGTACTAAGTCATGCTAAAATAACTAGACTAATAAGGGAGTATTAATTACATGAATTGTCACGACCCGGATTTCCCACCTTCGGGAGTCGTGATGGCACCTACTAATAGGAGCTAGGCAAGCCAACTCTTAACTACCTTTAGCATTAACCAATTTACTTCTTTTAACAATTCATCAGTAATATCATGAGAACAGCGGAATAAAGTAAATAAGCGGAAGTCTTAAGTTAACGAATCTGAACAACAATACGGAAACTCAACATAAATCTCTACCCAAGAACTGGTGTCACATACTCACGAACTACTAGGAGTGCTAAATACAACCGTTTGAAAGAAAATGTAACTGTTTGTCTCGAAATACATGAGATAACAGACTGAAATAAAAGATAGAAGAGACGCCGGGCCTGCGGACGCCTGCAAGGCTACCTCGGTGTCTCGCTGGACTGAAGGCTAACTCCCGCGCTACTGCAGCTGCTGTCCAACACCTGGATCTGTGCAAAGGAGCACAGAGTGTAGTATCAGCACAACCGACCCCATGTGCTGGTAAGTGTCTGGCCTAACCCCGGCAAAGTAGTGACGAGGCTAGGACCAGACTCCAGATAACCTGTGCAGATATATATATACAAGTACCACAGAGAAGAATAAACAATTTAAGCTGGGGGAGGGAGCATGCTTCAAGGGTTACAGATAGAAATAAAATATCAGGAATAATAGAGCGTACATCTACAGTTTAACTTCTAGCAATAAATGAAGAGATAAGGCAACTTTCATATTCAACTCATCTTGTTGCAGGCGTGCAACCCGATCCCATTTCTCAATATCTCGTGGTAGGCGTACCACCCACTCCCATTTCAATATCACTCGTGGTAGGCGTACCACCCGCTCCCATTTCAATATCACTCGTGGTAGGCGTACCACCCGCTCCCATTTCAATATCACTCGTGGTAGGCGTACCACCCGCTCCCATTTCAATTTCACTTGTAGGCGTACCACCCGCTCCCATTTCAATATCACTTGTGGTAGGCGTACCACCCGCTCCCAATTCAATTTCACTTGTGGTAGGCATACCACCCGCTTCCTTTACTTTAAATGCAATGCACAATACAATCCCGGCAAGGGAACAATCAAATTAATAATCTTCCCGGCAAGGGAACTATAACAAAAAGTCAAACATCCCGACAAGGGAGAGTCAGCCATATCCAATCCTATTCAACTTCTTCTTGGCACAACTAATACCAATATTCAGTCACAACTTTCATAGGATCAAACAAGGTTACAAAATTATCAAATTAAGACTCATGGTCATGCTCGACACCGACGCATGGATACTCGTCACCATGCCCATACGTCATACTCAACACAAAACAAGTAGCAATTATGACTCAACTCCTAATCCCTCAAGCTAGAGTTAGACCGAACACTTACCTCGATGCTTTGAACTCAACTCAAGCCTCAACTATAGCTTTAACCCGTGATTCCACCTCCAATCCGCTCGAATCTAGTCACAAGTCACTTAATTACTTTAATAAACACTAAATGAATCAATTTGAATGCATAAAAAATGAATTTCCCAAAGTTTTTCCCAAAAGGTCAAAAATGTCCCCGGGCCCACATGGTCAAAACCCGAGGTTCGAACTAAAAACCCATCCCCCCACGAACTCAAATATATAAATTATTTTGAAATCGGACCTCAAATTGAGGTCCAAATCCCCAATTTTAGAAAAACCTAGGTTCTACCCGAAATTCCCAAATTTCCCCATTAAAATCTTTGGTTTGAAGTTGAAATTATGTTAAAAGATGTTTAGGAGTGAAGAAAATGAGTTAGAAATCACTTACCAATTGTTTTGAAGAAAAAGAATTATTTGGAAAATCGCCTCTTATGTTTTGGGTTTTTAAAAAGTGAAAAAATAACTGAAATTCCCGTCTATATTTACCCCTCTGAAGTCCCAGCGCGGACCGCGCAAAAAGGGACCGCGGCCGCGCTGGCCTGGCCTAACTGAAGACCTGCGGATCTTAGCCCTGCGCGGACCGCGCAATGCCGACCGCGGCCGCGCAGCACCCACTGCGGACCGAGCAAAGGCGGCCGCGGCTGCACGCTTTTTCTCGCGGACCGCGCTAGAGGGTTCAGAGGCCTGCAAAAATTCCTGAACCTGCAACCGCTGATATTTTAAGCCTAAGGCATCCCGGAACCTACTCAAAACTCACCCGAGCCCTCGGGGCTCCAAACCAAACACACACACCACCTCAAAACCATCCTACAGACTTACTCGCGCGATCAATCGCCAAAATAACATCATATACATTGAATTATGCCTCAAAATCCATGATTTCTTCCAAATTTTCATAAAACATCAAATTTTCATTTTAAGTCCGAAACACGTCAAACGACGTCCGTTTTCAACCAAACTTTACAGAAAGTGCTTAAACCACATATAAGACTTGTGTTGGGCGCCGGAACCAAAATACGAGCCCGATACCATAGTCTTTTAATCAAATTTCATTTTTATTTTCCTTAATCATTTCCAGAAAACAATTTCACACAAAAATTCATTTCTCGGGCTTGGGACCTCGGAATTCGATTCCGGGCATACGCCCAAGTCCCATATTTTCCTACGGACCCTCCGGGACCGTCAAATCACGGGTCCGGCTCCGTTTACCCAAAATGTTGATCGAAGTCAAATTTATTCATATAAATATCAAAATTTAGCATTTTTCACACAGAATTCGTATTTAAGCTTTCCGGCTACGCGTCCGAACTGCGCACACAAATCGAGGCGATCCTAAATGAGGTTTTCAAGGCCTCGGAAGCACAGAAAGAGTAAGGAAACCAGTGATGACCCCTTTGGGTCGTCACATGAATAAACGCTAAAGAATAAATAAAAATAGGTTATGCATTTTTATGA